CCCATTGACACGCAATCTGCCGTGATCTTTTCCCTGATCAGCTGATGCCTACTTTACAAAAGATCTTCCAAGTACTCTCTCTCTCTCTCTCTCTCTCTCTCTCTCTCTCTCTCTCTCTCTCTCTCTCTCTCTCTCTCTCTTTCCCCTATCCCTTAGGTAGATCGTTCGATAGACTTTACCATCGTTCTTTTGATTTATATACGCTTAAAGAGAAAGAATTAGATGTCGAAGATCACCCTTTCTCATCTTAAACAGACGAGGAGAGAAAAAGAAAAAAAAATGAAAGAGAGAGAGAGAGAGAGAGAGAGAGAGTTCATTTTATTTTACCCACAATACCTCCTCTAGTAAAACCAGGATCACGTTTTCCGCGCTGTTCGAAAACCCCAACCCCTGTCCTTACCCGATCGCATTTTATCCGCAGATTAGAGTCATCTATCACTCGGATCCGATCCAGGATAACTTCGGAATTCGTTTCAGTTTCGGTCCGATTCTTATCAAATTGACGAGTTTCTTCGATAGGACGAGGACGATGTTTCTCTCTCTCTCTTTTTCTCTTTCTTTTTCTTTCTATATTTTCTATGTGCGTGTAATATCTCGCGTTCAAAGTACATATATACAAGGTGAATCGTGAGAGAGGTGAGAGGGTGGATTGAAGTTTGTGAGGGACCAGTTGGGATTGAGAGGGATGCGATTGCGTGAGTACATGTCCACGCCCACTTTCACTTATATATATAATATATATATATATGTGTGTGTGTATGTGAGTAGAAAAGAAAACGCAATTCCTCTCTTATGTACCCACGTAGTTGAGAAAAGTAAGAAAGATTCTCTTTCGTCATCCCCCCCCGTGCCGCCCCTCGATCCCTTTTCCCTGTGCCATCTCTCTCCCTTACGTTCCTCATCTTTCCTGACCAACCCACCCCATTCTCCTGCGATTTTTTTTCTCATCCCATTCGAAATTCTTACCTCGTGACCTTTCTGAAAATTACGTTTGATTTGCCGAGCAGAATATTTCTCTCTCTCTCTCTCTCTCTCTCTCTCTCTCTCTCTGGAGAATTAATATTTTTCTTTAAACGTTGTAATATATTTGAAAGATCGATATTAAGGTTATTACGAATAATATTGAGTAAAAAATAGAGAGGATTCGTTTACTTTTTCTTTTTTTCTGGTCTGGACACGCGCGATAAGCAAAGTTCAATTATATCTATCTATGTATACGTATACACACACATACACACACACACACATATATATTTGTGTGTCCTTGATCTTTCCTTGTCTTCAATCGTTTAACTTGGTCCAGTTATCTCTATCTCTATCTCTCTATCTCTCTCTCTCTTTCTCTCTTTCTCGTACCTCCCTTAATGTCTAGAAATCCCCTTTTCTTCGCCTAACCCTCACGAATACATATATCCCCACGTACCCGGAGGAAAAGTTATACGGTATATTGCGTCATTCGAACAAATGACAATCGCAATTCCCTTCTTGGAATCTCTCGCATTCGTCCACGTCATTCAGCGTATCGTCGCGCACTTTTTTGCTCCCTTTTTTATTTTTCCTTTTCCCCCCTTCATCCCTTTTCCTTCCTTCGTTCCTTCTCATAATTTCTCAAATAAGAATTCAAAATTCAATAAAATCAGAAATAGGGAAGAAGGAAAAAAAAGAAAGAAAGAAAGAATAAATGAATGAACGAATGAACGAATGAATCAACGAATGAATGAATGAATGAATGAAAAAAGGAGAAAGAAAAAAATTTAGAATAATTCTCGAGAATATTTCTATGATATATAAAAATATTCAATGGAAATATTAAAATCTTCGAAATAATTCAAATAAATATATATATATATATATATATATATATATATATATATATATATATATATATCTTGAAGGATAAATCAAACGAGCGAGCGACCGAAGAAACAAGTAAGCGTGAGAGAGAAAGAGAGAAAGAGAGAGAGAGAGAGAGACATAGAGAGATAGAGAGATAGAGCTATTAGAAGAGGGTGATAGTGATGGCGATGACGATGGCTATGGCTGTGGCGATGGCTATGGCGATGGCGATGGCGATGGCGATGGCGATGGTGCCAGTGGTTTCGAACTTCTCCAAGTTCCGCGTACCACATGCCGCAGCACCCGATGGTATTCCCTCATCGTAGGTACGCTCGATATCGTCGTCACGAATACTCCGTTTACTCCTCCCTCATACTCTCCCTCTTACTCTTCCTCCGTAAGCACTCCTGGTCGTTCGGGATCGATCGTTGCCATTCCCGAATGAAAACGATATAGAGAAGAGAAACGGTCTCTATCTATCTATCTCTAACTGTCTCTCTCTCTCTTTCTCTCTCACACTCTTTCTATATCTCTCATGAATGCAACAGCAACAACAAGAATAGTAATAGCAACAAGCATACTGCCAGTAACAACAACAGTCATTCCTGACAGCCATAATTTAACAACGCAACATATACTTACATACACACACACACACACAGAG